ATACATTTCATTCCGATGATGGTAATAAGAGGAAAAGGGAGAAAAACGAAGAAATAAGTTTATCTTATTTGGAAATGTAATTCTGTTTTCTATTGCCTTTGAATACATTTTTGTTTTCTGTTTTTTCACTTCTGTCACTTTCAATTGCTTTTCATTGTACATCGCAAGGTGACTCAATGGGTTACTTTGAAAAAAGCAAATGAACCGGAAAACGTTGAAACAAACTCGAGGTTGACAGAAATGATGAACAGAAGAAAACTTTTCAAATAATCATTTCAAACCAAATCGGAAACTCTTCAACTTTGAGATGAAGAACATGGTTGACAAAAAAAAGAAAATGAATTCAACTTTGGAATAGCCTGAAGGGGTCATCATTAGTGGCTTATTTCTTCATTTCTCTTCGATTCTCTTTCGACTCCCTTTCATCAAATGGTTACCATAAAGTTTCTCAATTTGGATTCATTGAATCATTTGTTTCAAAGTTTCATTTTGTTTCTTATTTCACTTCAAATTCAGTCAATTCCAAGCAACAATTTGCTACAAAAATCACGATAGCCTTTACAGAATTGAAAACAATTCCCAGAGGCATTTCTCCATCTAAATGGTTCTCTCAGCATTTGAGTTTCTTTTTGATTTTTAATAATATCGACTGAATTGAATAAAGAAAAATTATTCACTCAATTTTTTGCTTCAAATGTTTAAACTCATTTCTCTCAAAGTAATGCGAAACAAAAGGTGAAAAGTTGTGAAAGATTGGAGTGAAGAAAAAAACTGCAAAATGCTGCAAGAATTTTAAAATATTTTCATTCAATTTAATTCCCAGTTAGAATCGAATCTTGTTACCATTTTTTGTTCTCTTTTATTCTTTTTACAACTCACTCAGTTCATCTTTTCCTTTCACCATTTGCCGATCATTTTCCTCTTCAATCTTTTCTTAATTCTCACCTTTCTCCATTTCCATTCTCAGTATCTATTTTCAACCTTTTCTGGTGACATTTTGTGGCTTTGAATGGAAAAGTAAATGACGAAAAAAAGGGAAGAAGAAAAAAATTCTGGTGACTTCTGTTGAATACCTGATTTTGCTTTTCCAAAAATTGCTCAGATTCTTGTCTTGCCTTTTTTTATCACCTTCATTTCACTCCTTTTTTCCCTTTTCTTTCTTCTTCTCTTTTCTTTCCATTTTCACTATCACCATTACATGTTGTCATTAATTTCAACTAACCAATAAAACTCTTGAGCATTGTTATATTGCCATTCACTCACCATGTTTCCAACTCATAATATCGATTTACATTTTGTCCTTATCTTTACACCTAACCCATGTCATGAGGCTCAACATTTGCTCATCGTCATGTTTTTTGTCTGAAAAAAACTGGTAAATTGGTAAATGATTGTTGATGCAATTCATTATCAGCAATCAGCATCAACAAAATGAGCCGTAAGTGGCTAAAAAAGGAACCAGCAGAACTATCTTATCTGTTTATTATCAGTTGCGATTCTTGAAGCTTCAAAACCATTTCCTTTGGAAACTTGTCTTCTTTGCCTTTCAGTAATCAATCATTTATTTTGACTTGTTTATAAAGTTCATTCATTTGAAAGATGAAGAATCACTCATTTTTCCTTTTTTCTCTCATTTCTTTAATTTACTCTTGACCATGGTTGATGAAAGGTAAGGTGCAAGTGGAAATTACAATGAGTAAGAATGATGAGGAAAATGAATTTTGTGCGGTAAAATTTGCTTGTTTCAAGTTTACCTGAATGTCATGAGAATGTATCCTCAAGCAGAAATCATCTTGAATGATCAATCAAAACACTGAATAGTTGAATCACAAACTTGCTCTTATTGCGTGTCAGTTTTGAATTTAAAGTTGATGCGCTTTCAATTGTTGCGTGGTTGCCATGAGTTTTCAAGAATCAACTTGGACAAGATGAGATAATTTGAAAATCGGAAAGAGAAATGATGAGAATGTTGATTGAATTTCATGAGAAGTAGACAGAGACAGAAAGATTTACATGTTATCATGCATTGTAGATTGAATTGTGAATGTTACAAGGTAAAAATCAATAGTTAATGTTTACTTTCACTTCGGAAATAATGCTTTTGACTTTTATTTCAATTTTGTTTCTTTTTCCTTCTAATATTATTTCTCAGTTTCTATTTCAGTTTCAATTCATTTCAGGACAAATGACTTTTCATTTCACATGAAAAATTATTTTAATTAACCTTTAATAATAGAACAATATTGATCTGCAAACAATTAAAAGAAATTAAACTTTTTCTTCAAATCGTAATGAAAAATTTCAGACTTTTATCATTCAACTATAAAAGTCATACAAACTTCACGAAACCGAATCAATCCTGATAACTGGAAATCGATTGAGATTCAGTAATTCTTTCCAACTTCTGATTTCTGTCTAGACTTGAATTAGAAAACTTTTGTTCAAGATTTTCACCTGAAATTTTCTGGTTTCCATTTCTTGTTAATGATGTGAGGATAATCTAAATTAGCTTCAAGACTTTTTAGGAGATGAATATCAATTTACTAACCAAATGTTTATTGACTTATCAACTTCCATTTGGAGACAAAATCCATTTCAATCTAAAAGCAAAATAGATTCTTCCTTAAACTCATAACTTGATCATGAAAAGTTGTGCAATGATTGATTGATACTTCAAATGATTTCAGTCAGTTATAATCATGATTTTATTCCAAATTTTCATCACAAAACTTTGAAAATTTCAATTACAGTTTCTCACTTTGCATTTATGCTTTTTCATCATTGATGCTTTTTCTGAGGAAACACGTCTTTATCATTGTCAGTAAAATTTGCCAGTGAAAAGCAATTTACCAAACTGCTGCCTAATGAACATGAAAGTACTTGAGAGTCTCTTCAATTTTGGTTTCTTGCTGGTTAATTTTGAAAGCTGCAACTGCTTACCCTAGTTTTGAACAGTTTCAATGAATCTACAAGAAAATTGTTTTTTTTAAAACTTGTGCACTTTCTAATTATAATGACAACAATAGTGGCTTGTTGATTATGGCAACATTTACCAGCCCATATTAAAGAGTCTCTCAAACAATGATATAATCAACAGTAACCTGAGGGTAGACTCACATTGACAGCCTCTTCGAGTTTGTTTTTCTTGCTTCCTTCCAACCTCAACCTTACCCTTAACAAGTTACCTTTATGCATAAAATTGGTTAGATAAACTTACTTACGGCCTGTATAATCTGTCCATCTAATTTTCCTTCTCAGTAGCATATAAATCTGTTGCACCAAGAAAAAGAGGAAAAAAAATCTCACCAATTTTAAGGAAAAGAAAAGATTTCAACTTTTCCATTTGTTGTGGCAAAGCACATCAGTACCTATTACCTAGTGCCTTTCACAGCTTGCATTCCCTCACTTCACGCTGGGTCAGACTCAAGAAAGACTGTCAAACATCTAACAAGATAAACAGGGAAAAGTTATTAACCATCAATGTTGATACTTTGTTTGTATTTACTGATAATCATCATTGTTAGTGATTTACAATTCACATCATTTGTCCATCTTGTTTACCTTCATTAATCAACCTCTTTTGACCAACTAATTTCATGGTAAACTCACCAATTGTTTCTTTCCAAATGGTAAAAACTATAAACATGTTTCTGTCCATCAATATCATTATCCAATTGGCAAGATTCGCCTAATGGATGAACCTCTTTTTTTTCATTCAACTTAATGGCATTCAATCAATTAATCGATGCTTTCAATATTCCAATATTACTTCCGTATTAGATATTCATGAAGTGACAAATTATGGGCAACACAGCAGGTAAAAAAAAGATCAACACATTGACTTGGCAACTCTTTTCAATCCAACATTTAATCAATGAACTTTTCTCTTTTTTCCATTTCTCACATTTACCCTGAAAAATTTGCGTTTCATTAATGTAACGTTAATTAGAGAAAAAAGAAATTTCTTTCTTCATTGATTGCTTTCATGTAAATGCTGTTCCATTTGGGATTGAAAAGTTCATTTTTATGGTAATATCAATGGTAAAGTAAACAGTTATTAGCAAAGTCAGAAAAGCTTACAATAAAGTTAGACAGGAAATATACATAATATATTTTGATTATGATTTCTGTTGGTTAATTGTTCAACATAATAATGATATTATTCGAGTTTCATGATAACCTTTTCAGGCTTAAATGATTCCAACTCATAATGCCAACATTTAGTATCTTTTTTCACTCTTTGTACTTGATGTGTCTTAATGTAAAGAGGAAGCTGATGATGATATAAAAGTATTTCTTGTTCATCTTGCTTCTAATGATAATCATCATGTAAGCCTTACCATTACATTAATGTTTACTGAACTTGCCTTGGCCAAAGGTAATCAACATTTAATATGAAAAAACAAACTCAATGTTTCGAGTTGATGAAAAACAATTTTCTGATTGTTGATTAACTCAACTTTTTGTTAACTGTTTATTGATTGTAAATTACCAATAATAATGTTTACGATTAAATGAACAGATGAAGGAAACCCAAAAGAAAAGGAAGAAGAAAGTTGAGGAGGAAAATGATTAGGAGACTCAAGATATTTCAAGAGCCATTGACAATTGAATGTTTCAAGAAAATGCAATTAATCTGAACAAAAAAACACACAACTTTCCATATAAAGTACACTTTGTAATCGTACTCGTCAGCTTTATCTTCTTTGCTCTTCTTCCTTCAATAGTCCAAGTTTTATCTTCTCTTGCACTGTCCAATTTCATTGCATTCAATTATTGTTAAAGAGTTCTCTTGAGTCTTTCATCTCTTTGCCCAGACTAACCCGCTTTTCATTCCCTTTTCATCCCTTTTCTCCTCTTCATTGACCATTGAGAATTACTGTCTTGTCCAAAGTTATTTGTTTCCCTTCATTTGGTCATTTACATTTAACCTGCTAACCTTATCATTGTTTCTTCCTCTTCTCCTTCTCATGGTGTTGATGTAACCTTCAACCAAACAGGATTTCAGTTCATCCCAACGGAGACATTGGAATATAACTAAAGATGGTCAAGCTTTTTTGACAATCAACCGAGTTACCAAGGCTGATGAAGGAATCTGGGAATGCTGGGAATTAGACAACAATGGCAATGTTAAACGTAAATCTAATGTTATGAAAATTACAGTCGCAAGTAAGTTGAAATTTTTGGGTGAAAACTTTTACTTGACATTTGCAATGTTAATGAGAAGAAAATTTTTGCTTCATTTGAATATTTTTTTGCTGTGAAAAGCGGCGGCGTCAATTATCGCAATTTAAAAGCACTTAGACTTTGGTTCGAGTGCAGAGGCCAATTAAATGTTGGTCATGTGATGAATGGATTCACTTTAAAAGTCGTAAAAGTATTCATGGTTTAAGCTTGCAATTGAGATCATTTTTGTTGAGCAAATAAGTCAAGTTATCCAATATCTTGTCTAATTGCCATTTAACTTGAATTATTTGTTGCTATTATTAGATGTGCCTGAAGGTCCATTTTTAACAGTTGATGGACAACGTCTTGAGGAGACTGGACGAGTCTCTGTTCGCGATAAAAGACAAATGACGATAACTTGTATTGTTAAAGGAGCTTCACCGGCAGCTCGTTCAATCAATTGGTTCATCAATGGAGTCAATGTTACAGATTTCAGTCAACTGTTGATGGAGTATTCAGCTGATGATGATAATTATGAATCTCAAAGTGTATTGACAATGAATGTGACCAAAGAAGATCACAGGAAAATACTAGTCTGTCAAGCTGAACATGCAGCCTGGACCAAGCCAATGTCAGTTCGAACCTCGCTTAATATTCAATGTAAGTGAACAATTGAAGAAGGAAGTGAAGAGCGAAAAAGAAAAGAATAAAGAAAATGATTGAAGAGCTTTTGACTGATATGGACATTAAAGAAAACTGGACAACAAGGCGAAGTGAATTTCACTTTGATGGGAATAAATAGATAAATAGAAAGAGACAAATGTTTACGACAGATAATTAGACTGGCAAAAGAAGAGAAAGAAAGAAGATGAATAAATTGTAAACACAAGAGAAAAAAGGAAGAAAAGAAAAGAAAGAAATTCTGAAAAAAAGAAGCGACAAAATTTATGAGTAACAAGTATTTTGCGATGTTTTTGGTATTTTTTCTTGTTCTCTGGTCTAACTGTTACTGATTCACAGTTGGTTTAACCTGATTGTTTATAAGTAACATGATTTGGGAGGTGATCGACTGACTTTGTTGATGATTATAATCACTTAAGTGGTAAAGCTTTATGGCAATCTATTATTATCCTCAATTCCTAATGTGATGATAGTGACACTTTGCCAGACACTCGGTGTTATCCAACTGAAAACCCGCCTTGTAAAATGGTTTGTTATTTCGTCTTTTATCTTGCTTCTTTTCCTTTGCGTTTCCATCTTTAGATGAACCTGCCTTTTCCCTGATTCGTGATCCAGTTTTTGGTTATCCAGTCATTGAAGGAATGTCTATCTCTTTACGTTGTCTTATCGATGCCAATCCACCCAGTCAACCTCAATGGATTCGTGATCATTCACTGACTCCTGGCTCTTCCAGACTAGCCAAGGAAACGCTGTTTACTTCACCTGATGGAGCACTCAATATAGCATCAGTTTCCTTCTCAGACACTGGCTGGTATCGATGCACCACCAACCATACATTTGGACATTTTTCTTCCTATTCGTACCTTCTCAATGTTAAAAGTAAGCCACACTCAATTTAATGACATTTACTGTAACATCATTAACTTCCATGGTTACTCGCCAGTTTCCATGATAATCATGATGAGAAAGGTGAAACTGACAATTGCACACGAGAAAAGCCAATTAACCAAATCGACGATTAAAGGTAAACGAAATGAACAGAGAAAATGATCAAATTGAATAAACAAAAAGGTTAAAGAAACATCTGTTTTTTCAGTGGAAAAGTGTTTTTCCATGAAAAGGACGAAAAAATTGAGTTTATTTTTTTCGAAAATTGCATTTGATTGTTGATTGAAGAAATTTGTTGTAAATTGTTTTACAAATTATCAGTTTCAACAGTTGATCAACTATTCGTTTTCATGTAAACAGTTTACATTTCAAGTTTTACTTTTCAACATTGGAACATTGAGAATGCCAATAACCATAAATAATCATTTTCAACGATTATCTTCATGATAAGAAAGAAGAGTGGAAGAGTGAAAATATGTTGTTTACCTAAATTCATGAAAATCTCCTTTTTTTCAGTTGAAACTTTTATATTGACTTTTCCGTGAAAATGTAAAATTATTTAACTTCTTTGAAAATGAACAAATGCTCTGTTTATCTGATTTAAATTATTCATGAAAGTTTCTTATCAACCAAATTCATCTCTAATTCACAATGATATACTTAAGATGAATTCATTTCACGAAACATTCACGAATAATTCAAGAGATTTTACGGTTTATCACATGATTCATTGTATGGTTTCCAATCAAATATATTATCATTATTGCTATTTATTCATTTATATTTTTCTCTTTATTTGTTCTCTTCATGGAAATCATGGAGAAAATATTGAAATCTTTTTCTTTCATCTTTACATAAAAAAGTAACACAGCAAATAGTTGACATTTCAATCGACAATAAATGGAAGAAAAAACTGAATATCAAAAAAATTCTTTTCTTTCTTCTTTTATCATGAAAGTTATTAAGTTATTAAGTTTTACTCATTTGAAAATAACTTCAATGAAGATCTTAAAACTCATTGATATTGATCTTTGGAATGAAATGTTTTTCCATCGAAATCGGTGCAACTCAATTTCTCATGTTGTATCAACATGATGGTTTACTCTGTTTTATGGTCAAGTATTCATCAGTCTAAAAATTCATTTATCAATGTTGACATATTTATTTATAGCCATTAATCTGTTGTACTTTTTTATCTGATGCAAAAGCTTCATTGATTTTCCTTCCTGATCTTAGCTTCATGTTTGCCATGAAAAAACATATTGTATTCAATGGCAGAAAATTTTGCTATATTTGTTATTGAGTTTTATCATGATGATGGTTCCATGAGAAAATAAACAGAAAAATGATTCTAGTTGAGCTAGACATTTCCTCGAATCTCGAATCAAGATAGCAAAATGTTTCCCTTATCTATTGACATAATAAACGTCAAGAACTTCCAGTTCTGAAACAAAATGTATTTGCAATTCAAATCGTGATTCGTCCAGAGTTTTCACCAAAACTCATTCAATTTTTTCCAAACATATTCAAACTCTATTCTTGCATTAAATGAAGCAAAACTGTTAACTAGTTGAAACATTTGGAAAATCGATAAATGGAAAAAATTAGTGAAATTGAATTGACTGAGCAAATTGACATTATCAACTGAAAACATTTGACTAATCAATTGTTTCCAATGAAACTTCTTTTATCCTAAACATGAACTTCAACAACCAAGATGTTCAGTTACTAGTCTCAAGACAATCTTGATTCTCAATTTTTTCTACTTCGACCCAATTCCAACTTTATCATGTTATAGAAAAATATATTTCAATTTAATTTCTTTTCCATTCGTAATTAAATGAATAGTTTCTCAGAAGTTTTCTCTGCTTGGAAACTAAGCATTTTCAAAGCATTTCAAAGTCTAAGCTGCTTAGGAACCATTCAAACAATTAAAATATTTCAATTGAAAACTGCAAGAATGACAATAGTTTTGCAAAGCAAACGGAGTTTAATCAGACAATCATGCAAAATGATTGAGAAACTTCGTTAAACTTAAAATATGAAAATTGAAAGTCATAAGCATCTTTAAATTGACAGTCCATTTGAATTTCAAGTTGAAACTCGATTCTTTTTCTCACATTTTTTCTGCTGAAATTTTCTTGACATTAACCAAACTTTTATCATTTCATATTCCATCTTTTTTCGGTCATCATTTTCCATCAAAATGTAGTTGACCATTACCACATTCCTCCATCTGAAACATGAGAAGAAATGAAAGACTAGTGAAATGGATATATTTTTATTGCCATGTAATTGATAAAAATTGACTTGAGTAGCGAAGAGAGAACAGTTTCTCAAGTTGAGAAAAAGACAAGAAAAATATTCCTTGAAATGATGATCATGTTAATGTTGAGCCCAAATAATAGGTTTGCTCGTCAATTCTTCAGTTGAACATGAAAAACAATTTTTATCCCTTGACATTGTCCATTTACTTCTATCCTGATCATCCCTTTCTGGATCGTTGATGTAACTAATAAAAAAGATGAACTTGCGTGCATCTAAGCCTGTAAGGCCACCAACAATGTAAACCATTTTCCTCTTAAACTTGATGTTTCTATTGAATTTTCATTTCCCTGCTTCTCAACCCGAGAAGAACAATAATTTGAGAAATGAAAAAAGCGCAATTTCTTTCAAATCAAAACATTATAATTAACCTCGCAATTGCAATGTTGAGCATTTTTTTTGTTTTTTTGGGTAAAAATTCTTATTCCTTCATGAAAGCAAAAAAAGAAGAAAAACTGGAAAAATTTGAATTGAAATGAACGATAATGAGGGTTGAGAAATGAGTTGAAAGAAGCAATGATATGGTGATGAGGATGTGTTTTCATCTTGAGATTAAAAAAAAGGTGAAACTAAAGACAAATAGAGTTGGGGTTAAATTTAATGAAAGGATAGTCAAAGGTAAAATGATTTTCTTGTTCGTTTCATTCAGTCTCAATGTTATGTTGATTTGGTGGTGAAAACATGTTATTCCTATTCATTAGAATTGTTATCTCAAATTGTTGAATAAAAATGAACCTTTTTCTTTGTCTTTACTTTTCTCTTTGCTTTTCACATTTTTCTTTTTCTCTTTACTATGCAAAACCATTTCTTTCCTGCAAAACACACTTTGTATTCAATTCTAGAAGTAAACTTAATTCTCAATGAATTGGGTTACATGGTAATTTAAATTTTGTCTCATTTTGCTATGGTTGATGACTTGAAATTAATAAAAAGAGCTTTACTTTTTATCAGAGAACTCATCAAATCTCGTTATCGTCTTTCATCATCTTTTTACCTCAAGCATGAAGATGAAACAGAAGGAAAAATGACTCTAAGTTGAAAATTGCTTTTCTAGAAACTAGAAGAGCAAATGTATTTACAAGTGCAAGCCAAAATTATTAACCGGACTCAGCTAGAAATTATTCATAACGTGAAATCCAAGATGATGACAGATTGGTCATGGACATGATTGAGATTAACCGAAACAAAAGAGTTTAATTGTTTAATTGAAACAAGATTCAGGGACTCGCACTGAATTTAGATTGGCCAAAACAAAACTTGAAGAATAATCAGTTCCTTCATAATTTCAAGTTATGATTAGATGATTGGACTTGCGAGCGTTTATTTCAAATTTTTAAGTAAACTTTCAGACTGTCACAAGTTGAAGAAAATCTTTTTCTAACCTAGATAACAGCATTAAAATCTTGGTTCTTTTACTTGCTGTTCATGATCACCAATATTTAATTTTGTAAAAGTCAATTTTACGACTGTTTACTTTAGTGTCCAAATGAGTCTTTTCCAAGCGAAGAGGCCTAACCTAACCTAATCTAACCTTTGCTGGGTACATTTGCAAGTCAACTAAACAGCCTAGTATTATAACCGCTTGATACCAATTGCTTGGATCAATTTGCTTTGAGCAAGCAAGGTGATAACGCTTTGAAATTTGTTGTAATAATGAAATGAAATTGAGTCATCAAAGTCATCCTGATATGGCTTTTGCACAATAAATGAGCAAAATATCTTGATGCTTATTAAACTTCATGTCAGTCAAATTAGTTCAACTCTGATTTTTATCTATGAAACTGCAAAGCTCAAAATTTATGAAATGCTTTTTATTCACCAAGCCAATAACCTCTATGAGCCATAAAAGGGCTGTGACTTGAAGATTAAAGTTGTCACACTAATAATGCAAAATAACCCGATGAGTTTGGTTAGACTTGTTAGTTGAATTATTTTAGTTTCAACTTGAAGCAAATTGTTAACTGCACTCATCTATTTAAACATGAACACCGTAAATTATCATTATCATTTTCTTTATGAAATTTGATTCAAGATTGTTGCTTCTAAAAAAAGATTGCGAGTTATCTTGTTACCAATCAAAATGCATTTTAATTAACATGATGAGAAACTAATTGCCAGGGTTGGACAAGGTTATTATCATCAATGGAGGCTAATAATTATCATCTTTTCCTTTACCACCATAATAATGATTCAATCGTAAAGACATTTACCTTTCGTTTAATTGGACTCAATATTTAACAGTCAAATTAAATCATTAATATTAAACCATTTGGAATGATAACAAATCAAAGTTTGTAAATTGAGTTAACATTGACAAAGACAAATAACTTTAAAAATCAAACATGAAATGTAACTTATCCAGAAAGTAAACTTTTTTTTTAGTCTTTGCCTTTTCCCTTCAATATTTATCATCATAACTTACAAAATTGTGTCAAAATGTCAACAGAATAGACTGAAGCAAAGAAAAGCAAAAAGTCGATTATTAATGATTCACTGATTGTTGATCATTATTAGATTTACATTGTCGACACTCGAACATTTTTCCATGAAAACATGAATGACTCGAGGCTCTTGTTTTGACACATGAATTGTTGTTGCATTAATGATATTCTCGGTCCGGCAACCTGCACTGGTCCACCTTATTGGTTACCTCCCAATAGATGAGC